GAGCATAGGAAAATGTGTCTAGGCTACCCTTTCTACCCTTCAACTTCCATATGATTTAGGTGAATAATGTCTAATTAAAACGAAAAAAAAAAGAAAGAAAAAGAAAAACAAAGCGTTCAACTCGTCTCGTCACCCGTATGTATATTTAAAACTTTATACGATGAAATATATGTGAATGTGTAATTAAGATTAGGAATGAATGTATACAATAAACTTTGATCTCATGCATGCAATCGATGGCGTATTCGTTCCTATTAAACAGGTCAATAATAACAATAATAATAATAATTAATAACTAATAACTAATAATAATACATTGTGGAATGACTAACGGATGAATACGCCAGACCTTAATCAGAGTTTATTGTATTAGAAACGATACAATCAATTTGTGCACTTGTGATTTAGTGTCGTGAACGATACGCGACCATTGATAGAATTATGTTCATCGAATCGACATTATGAGGTTTTTAAATTTTATCGCTGGAGTAAGTGTCGCTATTGGATCGTTTCTTTTTATGGCATTATGCGATACGCGATAGATTAGTGCATATGAAGTGTCATTTTTGTTTACAAACTCGATAAAGATGACAAAAATTTAGAGCGCGAGCTTTCAAATATTTGTCCTTTTTCAGGTGAAGTTTCGTAGAATTACTTCTACACAACTTTCACCCATTTGAATGAAATGAAATTTTAATTATTAATGCTCCGGTTATTTTTTCAATACTATCATCTAGCAGATCCAAACACTTTTCTATGGTAAAACGCTTGAACATGTAGTCTAATTAAAAAACAAAATGGGCAACGGCTTGTAAATGTTTCTTTCTTTATTTATTTCATAAAACTTCAGTGTAAATAAGACTTAAATTTTACATTTTGCAATTCACTCTTGTTGGAACAAAAATAATTTTACCCTGATCGTGTTGATTACAAATGTCTCTGTAACAAGAGCCAACGGAGCGTTAAGGGTTAATCACAAAGGAAAAATGACATTTCACGTACACCGATGTTTAAAAAGAAAAAAAAAGCTTTACGTGTAATGCTCGTCGGCACGTGAAAAGAATGTTTCATAATATCATTACGGCTTAGTGTTTCGAAGGAAGAAAATGAGGAAAAAAATATATAGAAAAGCGTAGAGGAATTTATCCAATCGAACGATATGGGTTTTCAAGATTACTTTCACTGTGAATCATTTCGCAAGAAACGGGAAAACATTTGATGTTACGTCGATATTGAGAAATACAAGCGAGAATGTAACCAGACACCACTGGAATTTTCCCATCCTGTGTGAATGCATGGAATGTTAATATAATACTGCCTGAAATTAATCCATAATACTCTTAAGTAACAGCGGAAGAAGCACTTTTACACCGGTCACAAAATGAAATTCACAAAACGAATGAGAACGATAAACATTAAATTCGTAGGAAACTTAAGATGCTCCTGTTCCCCGCGTTTTAAATTGGCGATATTGCCGAATCAATATTTTGCATCAACATGTACTGATTATGTAAGAAATTGTATTTACTTGCACAAACGAAATAAGAATTGGATAATGGAAAACTGAGATTCGTTTGGTTTCCTTTTGCACCTCGATTAAACGTTCTAACTACTAGTAACAATTCCCTTGATTACAACAGTATTCCATCAACGTCCATAACTTCAGACATTATATAAATTACAATTTTATTAATGTCGGCAATAAATAAAATACACTATAAGAATGTTTGGCACACTCTTAACTACCTTCATCTGCGAACGATGCAAAAAGGACAATTCCTTCCCATCATTACCTTCATCGCAACGAAAATACTTATCCACTGGGATGCAACGCGAAACGATTTCAGCGAGTTATATCAAAGATTTATTCATTATATTGTACAGAATTCCATTTGCATCCATGATGCATATAGTGTGTCAATGTGTATGTATATATATATATATGTCTGTGTATACATATATATATTTTTATTTATTTATATATTTTCTCATAGAAAAGAGTTATGAAAAAAATTAGACTTGAATAAAGATACATGATATATGTTTTACGCAAATAAAGCTGTCTCGGAGGAGTCATTATTATTCAGGACAGTTTCGTGTTCGTACGACTATACAGCTTCGTTTCCGACGTCCTTGACACATTCATAAAAATATGTCATCCTAGGACCGCGTCTAGACTTACTATAAACTTACCGAGCATCGACTAAAGGTACAAGATACATTAGTCGACGCCCTTCTTGAAATTGAAGGAAAAAAGATTTATATAAATACTTTACATAGTAATGCTTCAAAGTGATACTGTACTTCGATAATGTTTATGAGTTTCTGATGCCAAGCGCCTGCTCCAGTTCCGCGCGTTTCTGTTGAACTTTTGTGTAGAAGTACCGGCAAACGGCTTCCTGGGCCCAAGGTTGGTAGTAGAATTCCGCTCTGCGCTCCTCCTCGGGATTGCCGACAACATCTATCATAGTCTTCAAGTCTCTGGTCTGCGAGATGATCCATTTGTTGATGAACTGCTGAGGGTCTTTGGCAAAACTTAAGAAGAATTCTCTGTTCGTTTTCAACTGGTTGATCGTTTCCACCGTTTCGTGAATCTTGTTGTCGAGACTTTGGATCTCTTGTTGGCTCGCGGTGGAGAGCAAGAAATTGTTCATTTGTGTCTTCAACGTGTCGTCTACTTCCACGTCTATGTCATAGCATGCAGTCTGTTTCGTTTCTGTACCTAATTAAACGAACAGTGAACGATTATATGTAAACTGTTGTCTATTCAGAGCTTTTGGTATTTAGTTTTGCATACCTTCTACGCTGATAACGTGGTTAATTACAATCGGATCTGGTGGATGTAATAACGGGTTCAATCGCTGTGGTATTTCTGCGAACTTCATCCTCGAGCAAGCAAATATTTGCTCCAAGTATTTATCACAGTTTATAAACTCTCGTTCATGGCTGTCCTGGAGTTTATGTGTTTTTATGTATTGCCAGAGCGCGGAAATGATAACAGGTCTTGTTTGTGTATGTACACCTAACAATCGGGCTAATCTGGGATCTAATTTGAACTGTGAACGTAAATGTATATATGTATTATAATTCTCCAGTTGGCATTTCTTGATCAAGATAACCACAAAGGTCAGAAAGATAGGACAGTACTTGTAAAGGTTGATAATCAAGGAGTAAAAGTATAGTGCACCGAACATTTTTATCTCCAGGTCTTTTCACTTGGAAACCATCAGTCTCTTGTGTTGTTAATGTACGGTGCCATTCGACCAAGTGATTGTCGGGTCCATACAGATCTTTATCCAATTCTATAACTAAGCTTTTAAAGAACGAAGAGAACTTCCTTTTCACCTAAGGTTTTGGATTAAGTTAATGTGTAGCTCCTTCATGCGATACTATGTTGTAGAAATACGTTTTACCTTATTAGGATCATTCTTTGTATCGTCTAAGAGCCGCCCTTCGACTCTAAGTTCCCAAGACGCTACGGAACCTTCTTCTCCCTCACCAGCCTCTTTTGCTGGGTAAAAAGTATTCGAGATAAATATTCGTAATTTTCTCTTTTGCTTCATGGGACGTTTCAATGCTTCCTGTATGTCTAATCGTTTTCGCATTATTGTCGCATCTAACTTCCTTTCGAACGCAAGTAAATCCATGTAAGCCTGTGACTCAGGCACCAGATCGCGCACTTTCTGCGGCAGTATCTTATCTGCCAGCTTTTTCTTCTTCTTGGATGTGGAATGTGAAAAATCACTGTTCCAAAAATACCTAAATGAGTTTGTGTAAAAATCAAAGATTCAAAAATCAATAAACCAATTTTGAAGCTTATGAAATGCAGTGATGTTCCTGGCAAATTGGTAAATGATTTTTAACACAGATATATCATGAATAAAATAATCAATGTATAAATTTTGACTGTGCAGACAGACTTTTCACTGTCTTTTTTTGATAGTCTCTCTTGCGTATGAAATTGAACAATTTCTTTTTAAATACGAAATAAATTCAACTTATCAAAATTAATTGGTTAATGAATCAATGAGCATTGATAAAAATATGAAAATAAAATTAACAGACAACTTTCTCTTTAAGCACTTACGGTTTCTGTTGTGACATTGGTATACGTTGATCTGCGCTTCTTTTGCCTACAGGTGGAGTGGGCATTGGCCCCTGGCGCATATTAGAATACGGTTGAGTTGCTCTTATTATGCTTGCTGGACCAGGTCCAGCGTTAGCCATTTGTGGAGGAGGAGTGAAACCAGATCTTTGTTGCATCTGTATAACAATATTATCCCCGTATGACGTACAATTGAATCAAAAAAGTACATATTTGATCTTAGGTATATACACATCGATAGACATCTTTGTCAATGCACTTACAGAAAAATTTGGGCTGGAATACTGCCGTAGATTTGGAGGCACAGATGATGCTGCGTACCTTTGCTGCGGTGGACCATTATTCCCTGTATTTGGTACAGGAAACCTTTGCGCCATGTCTAATAACTCCCCTAACATTGAAAACCATGATTTATTCATTTACATTAACGTTTGTACCCGCACAAACATAAACGCGAGGAGCCATAGCTAAATCAACTTGTAGGCTCACTCTACAATAAAATTGTACACGTTACTTCGGAATTGTACAATATCTTATTAAGTAATCCAAACTGTTCAGATTTCAGTATTATACAGAAACTTTCTTTCCTTATCGTAGAGATAACCAATGGCAATAGGAAAACAAAAACATAACCTATGAGGTAAAGCGTCTAACGGCAACTTTACTAGATGGAATTGAATCTCGCTCGTTTAACAAGTAATTTTTTAAGATCGTAAATGAGACTTACGAGATGGGATATGAAAAGATACTAGAAGAATGGGTATCGGGACACTGCGAAAGTTAGAGTCTCTGCGGTTGACCCGTCGAATTCGAATACAAGTTTGCGTCACAACACATTTCGACCGAGTTCGAAGGTTGCAAAATTATTTTCTGTTCCGGTGCAGGGTGAAGCGTGGAGTGTGAGAACAAGAGAAAAAAGAGAAACAAGTCCGGCGGTTAACTAAAAACAACCTACGTTTTTGAAGCTCCTATCCACTTACTGCCAGGGTTAGTAAGCTTTCGGTAAGCGGCAGATTAGAGACATCTACGCGTTCGTCGAAGTTTCCATCTAACGGTAGAAAACAGAAACTATTGCAGAAATATTCGGATATTCCCCATCGTAAATCCTTGTTTATAAATATTTACAAATAATGATATCATTTATCTACAAAATTTCAAAGACTTTAATGAAGTAAAGCAATTTTTAAATATCTTTGATTACATTGCAGTAACTTTTTTATTAAAAACCGTATATTTGAAAGTAAGGACCATTTTTGTTTCCTTTTCTTAATTTTGATAACTTTAAATAAAGATAAAGCAATCTTTTGGTTTTAAAATATTCAATCGTTACAACAAATTTGTTATATCTCGAGAATCTTAGAATTAAGTAAAATTATAATTTATAAAGAAATAACGTGATTGTAAACAGTGCCATCTATTCGTATATTATTTACACCTAGTTTCCATGGAACTTACCATATGCTGTTACAGTTGTATTTCTATTAGTTTCATCTATACGTTAACAGATGGCATTGACACTGTCTAATTGGTACAAATTTCAAATTAAAACCATAAATACCCTATAATTATATAAAAATCAATCAAATAATTAATGTAATCAATAAATAACAATGAAATTCGTTTTGCCATTTTATTTCAAATTTAAAAACTTACATACACAACTATAAGACGTCGATGTTTCGTCGAAGGTTTCCATAAGAATTTCAATTTTCTAAATAAAAATTTGATTAAAAAGAAAAGTCAATTAAGAATGTGTAACAAGTGTAAATTAATAGTTTCCATCGAATCTTCTATTCGAACTTCCTTCCGACATTGAAGAAATGATTAATCCCCGGTAATAATAGAATACCTTGAATACCACCTGCGCCAACAAGCGAACTTCTTATGAAAATAATTAATCACGAGCGGCGGGAATTTAATTTTGGACAGTTCATATTTAAATCGCGATACTCCGCGGTGACTCGCGTGCCACGAAAACGCTTCTGAACGTACCTACGCGATACGACGACGAGGAGAAACAACACAGGACGCCTAGGATTATATTTAAACTTGACTAAGTAGCTAGCGATCCCGCCACCGAACAGACTTTTGTATCATTCCACTTAACATAAACGAAACTAATCAATGATCACCTTAAAACTTGTTGATTACCTTCATCAAGGTTCAAAACCGCTACAGATATTTTTTGATAAAAGACTAACAACTATTGTCTTGTGAAACTAAGAAAGCTACTCCTAGGAATAGGTCTAAGCAAATCTAATGTTAATAGAAGTTTGTTAAAAATAAAATATAATTTCATAAGCTGCATCTGTTGGTACATACGATGGATGCATTTTTATATAAAAGTAGAAGAATAAAAGTTATTATTTGAAAGAAAATAAGAAAGGGTATAGTAGAATAAGGGATGAAAAGTCTTCTTAGACTGATTTTTCTCGTACGAATTTTCAACCCTTCATTTCAAAAGAAATTTCTCAGTTTTTGTTCTATTTTCCTTATTTACTAGTATGTATAAATTCTAAAAAAAATTCTGAGACATTTCCAGCATAGCGTTGCATAGCCGAGAATTTTTGGAGATTTTTTCGTCCCAAACCCTCAGCGTGAAAAATGAAAAACCTGATTGACGTTTTCAATCTTTTGTCAGTTTCAAGTGACATTTTCAATTTGTGTTGCCTGTAGTTTGATTTTTAGGTTTTCCATTCGAACGAACGGTGCATCCACTAAAGGGTTAGGTTCTTCGAATAGGAAATTCGTGCATCGTTGCGCGACACCATAGGCCTTGGCCCTGTCTCCCTCAATTCCTCGGCGTCCTCGCATCCACGTGAATTCAAAAAGCGGCTCGTGTAATAATAGCCTGGCCTATATAGCCGGTTATTTACAGAAAAAGAAAACACCTTGCGCAACCGAAATTTCGTTTCCCATTTCTCTCTTTCTCTCCGTTTTGGATCCAGATCGTTGCCTGCGACAGATGTGCTGAAATGCTGAAAGCACTGGAGTGGTTAGCCCGAGGAAGATTGTCGCTAGAATCGTATTTGTTTCTTAAATAAAAGCGAAAAGTGTGTAAATGATAAAATCAAAAATGTTGAAGCTGCTAAAGATTTAATTTAGAAAAATTTATTATTATCTTTATAAAGAATTTTCACGTTATATTTGTTAATAATATATTTGTTTAACAATATTTAACATTCGACTTGTATTTAATTGTATTTAACAATTCATATTATATCGTTTGATTGTGTTTATCGTTAATCGCGATGTTGAGAAGAAAATTATTCGATAGTTATGAATATAGACTCTGTTTCTGTATATTAAATATATTAAAGACGTTACAAATATTACATACTATTACCTTTCATTTTCTTTTTATTTACACATTAGTGAAATATATGTTAATAGAGAATATCTTTTCCTAGTGCCATTTAATGTCCATTTTAGCCATATATTCGCTACGTCTGAAAGAAGAAACAGGCTTATAATGAATTAAGATGTTCTTGGCAAAGGATTAACCGTGCAACGATGCGACTGTTACACGTCAAGTTACGGTAGTCATAACTGACTATCCTGCAAAGTTGTTTCAATTAGGACATCCAAGACAAAGCGTCTTGTGTGGTAAGATTTTGGCAGCTTTCCTTCGATTCTTAAGGAAGACACGTTTCTTCGAAGTGAGCGCATCATTTCGTCGCACTTTATAGTGGTGTTTCTTTGTTACGTTTAGGCTGTGATTTACAAGAAGTTCTCCGTTGACAGAACCGGAATCTCTCGTTTGTATAATAATTTATGAGAACAAGTGCGTTCAACGATGAAGAAACGCATGCCGCTGGCAGCGGAAATGAATTAATTGCAAGGATTATCTTACATGTGCACTGATGATAGTACTTCAAATATGCAGGAAATCATGAACTTAATAATATAAATTTATATAAATAATTCTATATGGAAATAGGGATATTTGTCATCATTGAGGTTTTGCGTGTATTTTTATTGTATTTCATATCCAATGCAGTTTTGTGGATCGGTATGTTAGTTGACGATAGAGTACGATGCGATGAATAATGTAGCATCATCCAGGTTTCACGGTAATTTCAATAAATCGATCTTCAGGCAGCAAGATCGACGACTAACAGTGTGCATCGTCAATATTTATCCAAGTAGAAATACCCGTCAATGGCCGGACACCAGTAGTATTTACAGCCTGCGTGTCTAACGAACTGAAACATTCGATTCTCTCGAATGCGAAGCTTCGAGAGGAAACGTTTTGTTTCGCGATTTCGATGTTCCCCGAATCTATCGGAAAGTGATAGATTGTAGTATTTTGAATGTACGAGATTTTCTGTTTTCGAGTAGTTACTAGTATGTGTAATAGGATTGTTAATTGGACTGATACTAAGACTGATGTTAAGTTAAGAACTAATACTAATACTGAGTTGAAGATTATTATCGATGCTAAGTTGAAAACGAATACTAATACTGAGTTAAAGATTAATACTAATATTAATAGTAAGTATATAATATTAATAGTAATTACTACTAAATAGTAGTAGTAGTAATACTAATATTAAGTTAAGAACGAATACTAATACTGAGTTAAAAGCTAATACTAATACTAAGATAAAGATATACTGATACTAAGTTAAAAACTAATAGTAATGCTAATATTAAGTTAAGAACGAATACTAATACTAAGTTAAAGATTAATGCTGATACTAAGTTAAAAAGTAATACCAATACTAATATTAAGTTAAAAGCTAATACTAATACTAAAACCAATCTGTACAAGGACTTAAAATAAAACTTCTCCAAGGACACATTCCCTCAGCTTCTTCTATAAGCAAAGAGTAATTCCACGAATTAAAATGACTAAAATGTAGTCGAAAGTTAGGTCTCCTTCTAGCATTAGAAGAATTAGAGAAGAATTTACTACTTTACACAAGAAAACTAGCTCCTAGAGCATCTCTATTTCCATCAAATTTCCACAGCCACAACTGGATCAGTCCAAATCGACCGAAACTTCCCTAAAACAAAGTCCAACAAATGCAATATCAATCAATCTCACTAGTCCTTCGAATCTAGCTTCTAGTAAATAATTAATCTAACCTACGCCCAATCTGTCCATAGCTTAATTAGAATAATTACATCCACCTCATCGTACTATCCAAGAAAACTACGTGACACGTCTTAGCAATCACTTCAAAGACAGAGAACCAAAATCCCCATCTCTATTTCCATAAAATTTCCACAGCCACAACTGAATCAATCCAAATCGACCGAAACTTTCCCCGAAACAATGTCCAACAAGTACAATACCAATCAATCTCACGAGTCCCTCGAGTCTAGCGTTAAGGACACGTTAAAAATCTATTCCGCGGGCGGCTTGGCAGCCGCGATTTTGGAAAATCTACGCGACGCCGTCCTGTCCAAGTGAACGGGTCGCTAATATTAGACCCCCGATAACCGTGGTGCCACACAAACACGTGCGCAGCCGACCCACACAGCCACGATCTTTTTTTGACGTGCACCGCGAAACGCACGCGGGATACACCCGCGTTGGAGATGTTTCCATCGAGGCGTGGGCCGTGTTCCCGCCATCCGTCGCCGGTATAAGAGGGACCGTAGCTCGGCCACTGCACGTCAGTCCACTACAGGAAACCACCACCGTGCAACCATGGCTCTCGAACGTCAAGTGCGCGCCAAGGTACATACCCTAACCGTGATCATCCCCTTCTGTGCCAATCGTGTGACAGGATGACGGCTCCTTTGGGCTTCGACCGAGTGATGGATCGTTGGGATTAGTGTTGTATAAATGAGCTTTGTCAACTCGGAAACTGAGTCTTTGGAGACGTCAGCGCTGAAGATTAGAGTCCTGAGCTCTACAAGCTGAAGCTTTACCCCTTGCCTTGCAATAACGTGTCGGACACGTAGTGTCGATTTTAAAGAATCGAACTAGCTTGAACGTTACTCGATTTGAATTCAAATTTAATATTATTGTTATTAATTATTATACTCTGGGGCAAAGATTGATATAGAATATGCTTCTAAATGTGTTCTTCTGAATAAATTATTAGTAATAAAGTAGTATCTATCATAGAGAATTAAATCGTAAAGCAAGGGGTTAATACTCGAAGACTCGAGCTGTTTGTTGCTATATTAACGTTGGAGGCTACAGCCTAGGAAATTTGAAGTGTGTCGAAGGTTGAACTTCGAGTTTGATAGCTCTAGTGTCCTGCTAATATAGCAGCTGACTCGTGTCTTTGATTGTTGCCTAGAATAAAGACTCAATTTAAGGTTTTGAAGCTTCGAGACTGTCTGGAAGTTTCGAAGACAGCCTTTGAAGTTGAGTCTTGAAGCTTTAAGGACTTGTTTTGTCGAACTCCGAGTCTTCGAGACTCAGTTTTTAAAGTTAAGCGTTGAAGCTTCGAGGACTTATCGTTTTGCAACACTAGTTCGGACCAATTTCGATTTTAGTGAACTGTGATAGACGAGATTCACTTGGGCTGAATTTTAATTGGCATTTTGTCTGATATTTATTTAATTAAACGAATGCTGTAGAAATCTGTGAGAAATGGTTCAGTCGTAATACAGGGTGTTTCATTTTGTGCAGATCGCGGCGAAGCGTAATCCAGAAATGGAGAAAGAGTCCCAGGAATGGATCGAGGCCATTCTGGGCAAGAAATTCCCTCAGGGTGAGCTGTTTGAGGACGTGCTGAAGGACGGGCAGGTGTTGTGCCACCTGATGAACAAGATCGCCCCCGGATCGATCACCAAGATCAACTCCTCTGGTGGACAGTTCAAAATGATGGAGAACATCAACGCGTTAGTAACCTGTTTATTAAAAGATTCAATGTAATATCTGTGCAATAATCTAAATATAATTTGTCGAATCATTCGCTAGATTCGACAATCGTTTATCTGTAGATTATCGTGTAGAGTTCATGTCTAGATTATTTATAGATTTCTATGGGGATATTGGAATGTCTAAAATATCTAGAAAATAGAGGTTATATCTGGATTAATTATAGATTATTATATAAACATCGTATCTCGATTACCTATATTTTTATTTTCATAGAGATATTATATATAGATTATTGTATATGTATATATTATATCTAGATTATACGTAGATTATATGTAGACTAACGACCGCCATTTTGCGATAGGTTCCAGAAAGCTATAAAGGACTATGGGGTGGACGACGTCGACGTCTTCCAAACCGTTGACTTATGGGAAAAGAAGGATATCGCGCAAGTGGTCACCACTCTGTTCGCCCTCGGCCGCACGGTGAGTTCAATGAAATAATCATTACGAAAATAGATTAACAAAATAATATTAAGATCATCTATTACTTATTTTATTTATTCATTATTTCATTACTATTTCATTTACTATATTATTCAGTTAATTAAATAATATGATATACAAGTATATAATATAAAATAATAAGTAGTTCTTATTAATGGAAGCTTGAGTAATTACACAGAAAAATATCGTAATATAACGACAGAAAATGATTCTAAGATTAATCAGTTTCTATCACTTTTGCTCAAATCTCTCGTTCAAATTTTTCTATTCACTTCCATCTTCTCGCAAATGATTCACTTATCTTCTAACTTAATGATATTCGATAATATCGAACACGTTATCGCTGAAATAATGAAAATCTACGAAATAATAGTAGCTGTACAATTATTAATGATAATATTCAATTGTGTCATTTAATTCCAAACGAAATAGATAATAATAAATTGAAAGTTGCTGGAAGAAGGAGTGGCTAGTTAAGTGAGACACACTTGGATGAGAACTTGTCTACTTCTTGGATCACTTTTCTCTCCCTCGCATTGATTCAGTTCCACTGTGAAACCGTAAATATATGAGAATGTCACGGTTGTCTAAACGAGTCCGTTTAACGAGCCACCGTTGCACAGTGTGACGCGTAAGATCTATGAATGAATATAATGTGTCTGGCATTAAATCTCGTTCACGAATCCCCACGTCGATTCACAGTCTGTTCGCGGAACACAAAACTGTTATGCCAATCAACTGTTAACCCCTTGCGTAAAATAAATTAAAGGAAATTCACTTTTATTCAAATGACTATGCAAATAAAATGTCCATTTTGCTTGTTTGCTCTGTCAATTCTTCTTGAATGTCATTTGACAATGCATTTCGAGGAAAAATTACATACAGAACATTCTTGTTTCCTTTCTGATCATTTGAAAATAATCTATTTCCAACGTAGAATCGAATAGAATTAGCTAATGCATTGTCAAGCAACAACTTATAGAAAATTTGAAATAACAAAATCACAGAATGTATAGAATACAAGCATATAAAATATCCAATCTATAGTTTATTTCGCAAGAAAACTCATTAGTACTGTTACAATCCAAATATCCAAGTAAACAATAAATAATGATATTATACTGTTGAAAATAAGTAGTGATCGAGAATCGACAGTTTCTCTGAATCGATTGCATTATTTCAGACATACAAACACCCGGAATGGAAAGGACCGTATCTAGGACCGAAACCCGCCGAAGAGTGCAAACGCGAGTTCACCGAGGAACAGCTGCGTGCTGGTGAGACCGTGATCGGCCTTCAAGCCGGGTCGAACAAGGGTGCGACCCAGGCTGGCCAGAGTCTCGGCGCGACCCGCAAAATTCTGCTTGGAAAGTAAATTAGGCCGTAAGAAATCGATTAGACGCAACCGCAGAAATTTCTGTTTTCCATGTATGTACATGTACTTAAGTAATCTACACGCAAATTTACTGTATTTATTTTGTATTTTGTAATTGAACGATAATATATACATGTTTATTATTTACGCGGCGGATACAATGTCTCCTTCCCGATCCAAATGCGAGGAATCCGAGGTATTCTCGAATCCTCTAAAAATATGTCGCCTCGGGGCCGTGCGAATCTGCGAACCAGCTGACGGGTGTTAATAGAAATGTGGACAGCAACGTGATGTCTGCGTTCTGTTGCTGCCCACGCATCGAGATGAATTCGTTTCGTCTGTGATTTGTCGGATTAACGAAATTGGCTCTGACGCCTTTCTAAAAATCGACGATCGCAACGCTTCGTTTCGTTCTGCGATTAAATTGCAGGCTAGGGAAATAGTGTGAAATGGCAGGATTATTCAATTTAATCGAGGTATTAATAAATGATGAGTCAAGAGGAAATAGTCACTCTTCGAAGCATGTTTCTATGTATCGTGAGGTTTTATTTAAAAGTCCGAATTATTGGGTTTGTGGGTAGCTAATGCTATGAAGGATTTAGGCTGTAGAACACAATGGCTCTAATGACCCTGATGGCTTTCCAAAAATCAACGATGCGTTTCATTTTGGTACATCATTGTGATAGAATGGCACGATTATCCGGTTTAATTGGGTTATTAATACATGGTGACTGGTAATAAAATACGATGACTCAGGAAATAGTTTCTCTTTGAAGCATGTTTGCTAAATTTGATTGTATATATCGTGAGGTTTTATTTAAGAGAATAAGTTATTCGGTTTGCGGATGACCAATACGTTAAACGATCTGGATTGCAAAACATCACTTAGCTGATCGTGGTTCTATCGTATTTTGATTCGTTCAGTTACGAGTTCATTGAAAATTTCAACATTTTAGTTCCTTCCTTTAATGTTCTTCTATTTTTTAATTGTACAGGTGCAAAGGAAACGTTTCTTATTGTAATAATATCTGAAATAAATTGATTTTGATGCGATACGCAAAATATCTTCATTTTTCCCCTGTCTCATTAGTCCTTTGATGATTTGTGTTTATTTAGCGCGACTTTGTCTGATTGTACTTGATATTTTAATATGTTTCCAACATTTTTATTTATTTAATATAGTTATATTCGAATTTTAGAAGTGTCGAGGAATGACTAATCATTTATTTCAATAACATTAGTGAATTGTATCCTACGGAATGAAGAATAATTCATTTTCATAAGTAAACGCGTTCGCCATTTTTACGGAGCAAAAGGGCGGGAAGACGCGCTGAATTTAAATGAATTATCGGCCACAGATGTTTCGCACGTATTTCAAAGTCACACAGTTGTGTAATACTAAATCAAAAACAAGAAAATTATGTTAGGTTAGTTATTAGTTAATAAGTTACTAGTTAAAAACGATAAATAACATTTCATTTTATTTGTTTGATTATTTCTATAACCTCACTTTCCTCATTTCCTTCGATTCCATACATAGTTCCGGCCCATTAAACGAAACGTATCCCGAGAATCGTATTTTTACGCGGATCTATGGAAACGTAAATTTGAACAAACATCTGCGCTCTATAAATAATTGTTTATGCGACCACGCGTCGGCATGGAACATTTGTATATCTATTTTTCAAGTAATATTGGCTTCATCGCTGGTTCAAGAGAGTCGTCCTCCAACAACTGCATTAAAAGACGCCGAGAAGAAGAGAGAGCGACAATGAAAGAAAATAAATTGAAATTTGATCCACGTCGTGATGCAACCGTCGCAAATTTTCATAATTTGAATCATAAGTTTATTGTATCTTTTAGTTTATTCCTGTCATGCTTCGCCAACGTGTTTTAGCTATCGAGTTCCACCACGGTGGTGACAAATCATATCGAAATAAGGAAGCTGTTAAATGATGGAGCCTGTTTTCCTCAAAACATATAGAACTTCGTATAGTTCATCTCGAAACATGGATACATAAACTTAGAATAAATAAATGAATACAAAATTCGAAAGAAAAATTTTAAATAAAGTGAATTCAATCGAAACGTCATTGGACGAGTAATTTGTTTCTAATTGTTTATATATTATTGGACATAATAGAAAAGACATTTCCTAAATTAACAATCCTGTTTAGTTTACTACGAATATCAACAGATTCACACCAGAACTATCAGGTGTGTCAAAATCACTAATTTCTTTACTATCATTGAACTTTACTATCGTTGAAGAAATACAAATGTTTTTTCAAAGCATTATCATCTAAATTGATACAACAATACACAACTTAAAATTTGAGAGAGACCAGTACAATGAATTTGGCTGCTTGAAAGTTCCAGCGCTGAATAATTGATGAAAATAGGAATCAGAAAATAAATGGGTCGAACGGAAATCACGAAAATAGATAAACAAACCGATGGAATCTGTAAAAGTCGGCGATTTAGAGCTTAGAAATTCTGCTTATGTGACGGGCGCGCAATAACAGGTGGATGATAGTTACGGCGACAAGTGTTGGCCCGCGCACGAAAATAGGGATATTGTAATTCGCATTGTGTACCGCGGGCGTACACATTCGCGCTGTCAGATTCCACTTGGCACGGCCTTCGTCGCAACAGGTCGGTCTAAATTTATTTCTGATCCTTCCAGCCGGCGCGAAGCGAATCTGCGCGTTTCCCGTAATGATCGTCCGACAATGATGCAGCCGATAGATCCCGTAGACGAATGATTGTCTTCGCATCAGAGAATTTCCACCACTAACACGCTGAACAATTAATAACAATATTAAATAATTCCCACAAACTTCTCTATTTTCATTTCTCGAAGCAAAAGTCTATCTATCTCGGAGTCTAAGGTTGTTTCAAAGTTCTACAATTTAAAAAGGTTGAAGCATTAAGAAGTTATGCAAAAAATGTTAATGAAAATAAAGAACTCCCTCTGTCCTGTATGTTACAGCAAGTATCTGGAAAAATACGTGATCAGAATTAACCTCTTGCCTTGCATCAATTAACCCCTTGAACTCTGTAGGCTCCAATATTGCACCAAGAATAATATTAGATATTTTAATCAACCTCAAAGAAACTATCCTACAATTATTAGATTTTTCACACATCCAAATTTTGCACTAAGAAGGAAAATAAAGGATTTAAGAAAAGTTACAGCATTTTTCATTTTCGCTGAGGATACTATAAAAATTAGTTGCAGTTGCTGATAGATTACAAAACCATCTGGAGTGCTAAGGGTTAACCTTGAGTTTCCAATTAATGCTACAAAGTATTCGTCTATATTAATTATTAACATTCAGAAAAAAGTGAGAGAAAAAATCAGCAGAATATCATTTGGTATCACCAAATGTCACGTTAGAGTATACATCATATAATAAAGAGAAAATAATCAATAGTTTCCAATTAATGTTTCAAAGTGTTCGTCAATATTAATTATTAATATTCAGAAAAAAACGGGGAAAGAGATCAGCAGAATACCACTCGGTACGGAAAAATCACGACGAAGCAATGACGGTTGCGTAGCATCAGGGGCAGACTCACGCAACCGTGACTGCGGACGTTGAATCCATGTTGATTTCTACAGGACAAAATCAAGCGTTTTCCCTATCCCCGCAATGTGTAAGACAAGGACAGAGCTAGTGTGCGACAAGGACAGAGATAGTCTGCCCCATTCCACCTCCTTGGAAAAAGCATCTCATCAGTCCCTGGTACCT